TTTCAGTTTCTCCTACAGGCAGATGACAAGCCATTGCATAAAGGAGGGTTGCTACATTTACCAGGCCATGACTTGTTCAGAGAATAATGCCAATAGTCAATATCACCAAAATGATGAAAACCTTGCTCTTGTGCACTGTGAAATATGTATATTATTGTGTATATTGTATATATTGTGTGTACACTGTGTATAGTGGATATTCTGTATCTTATATTGTCTCAAACTGTCTGTCACTACATAACTGCAATGTTGCTGACCGATGTATCCAAGATTTCCACTCACTGTAGCACTTGTGTATATGGTTTACTAACGATAAAGTGATTTGATTTAAAGACACACCTTTTTGTTTGCAGTGTACTTGTGATTGAAAAACAATGTCTTTCTCAAATCCAATCAGACTGAATTTCTTCTGATCAGGATAATGATCTGATATTCTTCTGATGAATTTCTTCTGATCAGTCTTTGATCATAGATAAGGACAGATAGATAAAGACACGTGTCGATGAATGTGAGGAAAGAAACACTCCCTGTTAGTGTCAACAGCTGTCTCTTGATCAAGACACAGGACAGAGACCGCAATAAATCAATTACTGAATTCTCTCATCTTAACATTGTGTTTACATGGAAAGTATGAACTTTTAGGGGGAAGAACGAAATTGAAATCGAACTGAAAATGAAAATAAATTAAATATATTGCATAAAACGTAATTTGACTTGTAACGTGTTAAAAACAGCAGTAAAGTATTTTATGAAGTATGTCATGTTCCTGGCTATTTAAGGGTGAAGTCATGAGCAAAGCTCTTTAAAGCTCTCACATATAATAAGCTACATGAATAAAACATAACCGAACAATGACAACACCTAAACAGAAAGGAAAAGCAATGCCACCCAGTTTAAAACACTGAAACAATATATAGATGCCGTCGACACAATAAACAGTTTATAGGAGTCAGGTAAATAAAACTCAAAAAAAGCAGCAGCACTTAACTCTGCTTATAGGTGAGTATGATGGATGTTATTAATATCTAAAGTGTTGACAGCACGAGTGATGGGCGGAAGTGGGGGTGTGTTTCTGTCAACGTTCTTCACTATATTTCAAATACATTCCTAAAATCGATTGCTGTGTTAATTGTTCTATTCACAATCATTTACAAAAACAGCGCTACAGTAAAATAAGATACAGTGTGTGCGCATGGTGCCGTTTCAGTCAGAAGAACCGCCCTTCAGCACTGCGTATTTAGGAAGCACACGCGCTATAACGGAAAATAAATCATAACTTACCATTTCTTTGTACATTCCAGAACAAGTTCTTGATACGAAGCCACGAACTGAAATTTAGTGGCTTTTTTGCCAACTCTTTGTAATCTTTTCCACACTGAAGTCATTCTTCTGTAGAAAATGCAGTATCCGCGAATGAATTCAGGCGCATGGAAATTGTATTTTTACAGTCCCGCCAGTGGACAAAAAGTAAAAAGTCCTCAAATAGATGGCAGTCAAGTGGCTCGTGAAGTGAAATGTTCCTGCTGAGGAGCACGAGCTGCACCTCATGCGGCTCAGTACCACCGAACTGTCGCCATCGAGTAAAGACCATTTACGGAAACTACTGCATCACGTTACACACCAGAGCGAGAGAATCTCTGTGTATTGCAATTAGTTGCCTTGGTGCAAAAAACAACAACATTTGTGCGTAAAGAATCTAGAGACTTAATCGGTTTTATGTTATGGAGCTTCACGTGATACGAAATGCTTCTAAAAAGCAGCTGTCTGACAGTGAACTGATGGAAGTGGATGTAGAAGTGCAAGTGTAGGTGGGAAGGGTTATGCAAACACGCCTATGATGCAGCAGTATGCAAAACCTCCCTCATTGTATTCAGTACAATACTAAAGGTACTGTTGATATGACAGGTCAGGGGTTACATCCAGTCAGCTAGGGGTCAAAAGAGGATGCACTGTATAATTATGCATCAAAATAATTATCATATTTTGGTTGCAAAATTACAGATAGAGTTAAAAAGTTCAATTTTGGGAAAAGCAGCTTAGAACAAGCTCAATTATTGGGGAATTATTTGCAATACAGTTGCTAATAACTTTTGATCATTAGGTGGCACTACGAAATAAACGCTCTTTGTTGGGTTTGCAAAAGTAGTCAAATCTAAATGGCGGATTTGTAAAATGCCCAATAAAAATGAGTAAAATTGGTCTATGTGACTCTAGAACAAAATAATCCCAAGGTATGAGCATATTTATCTTATATGTATATTTATATTCATATTAAGGTTACAATGACAATCCGATGAACGTAACCTTTAAACATATGGTTCTATGAACTACCATAGACTTTTGTGCAATAGGAAAAATGCTTCAAACAAAAACATTATGCACCTTCAGTGCTTGGGCCCTGTGTTCAGGGTATTTATGATCTGGAGCAGTAACGCGGGGCCGTCCAATCCTTGATCACAGTGGGTATTTTTAGTGGACATTGGCAAGGGCATTTTTCAAGTTAGACAGGATCTATTTTAGATGGCTGAGAGCAAGGGATAAATGGACAGAAGCAGCTGGAGGCATGGATGGAGTGGTGCTGCTTGTGTGGGTTATGGGGGGAGTACAAACGTTTGGCTCAGCTGATGACCTAGAATCCAAATCGGTGACCCCCTTAGTCATATTCCTGTGTGACACTAACCTCTTCCTGTCTGGTGTTGCCACTCACTGCTAACCCCATTATAATTATGTATTTATAAAAACATTGTAGAACATATATTCAAATAGGCCTATATTAAATATAAAATATTTTAGAAAATACAAAAACCCTTTGATGCTATATATTATACCTTATAGGGCATTTCAGAAAAGTTCAGCACAGGTGTTTATTGACATGTGGAACTAACTAGCAGTGGTTTGTTTCGAGATTTGTTGAATACAGTTTGCAGTCTAATTTCAGGTGTGCAAATATAAGCTAGCTCATGTAAAACTTACAAACTCGACTGGGAAACAGTGATTTGTGGTTATGACTATGATTTTCCAAGTTAGGCCCCTCCCTTCACTTCACATCACAGGCTGAGTTTGTATCCGGGTAAGACATGAGCTCACTCGTAATATATGCTTACTCACTAGGTGGATCAAGAAATGCCTCATCCTTATAAAGATGTGCCACACCACCTTAGGGTACATAATGCATAAAGAAACAAGAGCCTCATTTATTACTGAAAAACATGATGATGAAATACTGTTCAACTACAACAACATACACTATAGGCCTGCTATTCAAAAGTTTGAAAAAGTTTGGAATTTGAAAGAAATTAAAAGTTTTATTCAAAACTTTATTTTAAAAAAGTGAGTGTAAAGACATTTATAATGCTACTGAAGTTTCTGAAAAATACTGAACATTCTGTTCATCAAAGAATGCTGAAAAAATCTTTCACCATTTACAAAAATAGTCAGCAGCACAAATGATTTCAACAATAAGAAGAAATGTTTCTTGAGCAGCAAATCAGCATATTAGAATGATTTCTGAAGGATCATGTGACGCTGAAGACTGGAGTGATGATGCTGAAAATTCAGCTTAGCAATCATAGGAATAAATAATATTTTTAAATATAGTAAAATACAAAATGTATTTTACAATATTACTGTTTGCACTGTATTTTTAATCAAATTAATGCAGCATTCGTGAGCAAAAGAGACTTCTTTCAGAAAAAAAAGGAAAAATCTTACTCCAGACTTTCTAGTAGTGTAACTCAGATCCAAAAAAGGGTAAAAGTCTTCCAAACCCTAATAAATGAACTTTAGAAAGATGAAAATGGCTTTAAAAAATGTTTAGTTAAAAAACAGAGTATAAAAAGTATCATTTCTGCCATAATATTTTTCAAAGGGCAGAAAATGCATCTTTTTGTGTTATTAACATGTGATTGAAAAGATACATGACCTTTAGTTTGAGTTTACTTTTAACAGACATACCACATATCCAACAATATCTTGTACATCTGGGTTGTATTTATAGAGGCATGGGAGAGCTTTCTAGAGGAATGCCACATCCTTCACCACTTAATGACTCCATCATACCAAATATGTGCACTTTATCACACTGTAAGAAAGATGGTCTCATTGAAGAAACAGTATGCAATGTAGAAAGTACAGTGGGAGTGTTTCAATGAGACAAGAGCAAGGTTTTGACACTGGGGCTTGTGGCATAATGACAAATGCTCAGTGCTGATCAACTGCCCAGAGCTTTGTTCCCTGTGTCTACCTGCAAAGACTCAAACAGAAGACCATTTAGTCAAGAGCACCAGATGGAAACATTTAATAACCGTCTGCTTTTCTTTGGAGGACACACTCTGACAGCAGCTGCAGTGAGCATGGAGCTCCTGACCTCCCCGAATGGCAGAGTTTAGACATTGTGGTTCATCCACCTGCTCAACTTTAATAATAAATGTCAGAGATTCTGACAGGTTATGGTACAGTATTTGGCATTGAGTCACACAATTAGTAAACTAATATATGCATACATACATACAGACTTGAAAAAATCATTTCAGGTGCGCAAATATCAGCTATCAGAAAATTTAGTAAAAAGTATATTAAATAGAATTAAACTAAACTTTAAATTGCTATAGTTCATGTTAAAATTGCTATAGTATGTTGCTATATATTAATTGCTCTAGACTTATATATAAACTTAATCAAACCTAAAGCACAGTGTAATGACATGCCATGCAGTCACTGATGCTGTAATTATAGTAGCGATGGGAAAAGTTTTTGGTAATGCCTGGCCTGTGTCTGAGCTTGTTCCTCCCCCCTCTCCCTAATGCAAAAGAAGCTAGCAGTATTACCTAATAAGCACAAGATAGCTAGAACCATTTGTTTATACTTGCGGAGTAATGAGAGAGTGGTTCAGAAAGATCTCAACAAGCCTCAGTCCAAACATTCAAATTTAGAATAATTGTTTTAATCAGATGGCATGTATCTGGTATGACTCAAAGATAAACATTAAAGGAGAATAATCTAGCAATCTTCTTTCGCGCTACACGGTACCAAGACGATGAAGAGGGCAGATGTTTCCAGAAACAGTTATTTTGTTTACTCCAATACTCCAGGCGTCTTGACTCAAAACAACATCCATTTAGAAAGTTTAGAAAGGAAATGAGTGCCACCTAATGGCTGATTTGATCATATCTGCACTGGACAGCTGTTTTGAACACTTATTTGAGACCGCACCATTTTAATTGTTTTATTTACTTTGTACAGAAAAGCACATTCTGCATTGTGTTTAACTTACTAATGAAAGACAGAGGTGGAAAAAAATAATATTTCATAATAAAATAAACAGTATCGAAAATGCACGCAAGTGATAGAGAAAATAGAGTGATAAGTGATAATATACATCTGATGAATCTTCATAATATAATGAAATTGTGACCACAAAAGAGAATAGTATGTAAGGCATGTCTTTTTTTATGTATACACCCTTTGCCATATGTAGAAAAACATCCTTGACCACACTGTTTCTGTCTACAACATCCTCTTCCTGTCAACCCTCATCCGGTCTTTATTACTTCACAGGCAGTGAAAAGGCAGTTTTTCATAGTTCCCTTGAAACAACCTTACAATCACCATTGTAATAGTATCCTACAAAAATAAAGGTCTTGTTTCATTTGAATGCTTACAGAATCCATACTGAGATCCGTACAGTAGCTGAGAGAGCACATGCTTCAGTTAAATGGGGATGTGGAAGGAGTCTTTGATCCACTGGTCTCGAGAGTTCTGAGTGGGCTGAGGAAGGGACAACAGCGTCTCCCCACTCTCTCTTTCATGTTCATCTTCATCTTCCTCCTCTTCGTCTTCAGAATAACCATTTTCGGTAATGAAGGAACTCTCACACAGGGAAGAAGAGATGTCCTGGAAAACTCCTTTGTATTCCTGTATGGACTCATATAGAGACCACAACTGGCACAGCAGCGACATGTCTAACTGTCGAAGTCCAACCTGCGAAAGACAAGAACATGAGCTGTGTTGTTTATTTATTTTAAATAAAACTGTCAATGAAACAGTTAGTGAAAACATTAATCAAATTGTTTTAATTTATTTATTAAACTATTCAAAATGCAGTTAAAATGTCAGTACAGAAATGCGTTCACACAAAAGTTTATTTGACATGTTTTTAAGGTCTGATTTTAATTTTTAAGTCATTTTAATTTTATAAATAATTTTTTGTTTTTGTTTGTTGAGCTCAAGTCAAAATTCATATGGTGCGTGACCAGAGATAAAAATAAATAAATAAATAGGTCTAAGCAAAAGGCTGAAATTCTTTATTAAAAAACATATATATATATATACACTATTTGCACTATTATTATTTCTTTTTTTAAGTAGACAATTTTGTTTAAATATATCATACCAAATCAAGGTCAAAGTCAAAAGGAGAAACTCAAAAAAAAAAAAAGTATATTCATAAAGAATATTTAGGCTGCACTGAAAAATGTTTTCAAAAATGTATGCAAATACAAAGCATACCTTGGCAGATATTTTAAATGTACTTTATATCATTTCTTACATGTATTTGTCATTGATCCATAAATAGTTGCCCATTTTGCACAAACTGAGCGAAGATCAGAGTGGCACTGAGTCAGGCGTGGTCTCGGACTCACCATCTCTTTGCGCAGCACGGCCAGCGCTGCGTCAAGGCTCGCGGGTTTACTGCGGCCAAGACAGTCGCTCACTCTGGACTTGCTGATGTCCGCCTGGATGCGCGTCCTCTTGCTGTAGACCTTCTCAATGTCCCTCCAGGACCCTCCGCTCGAGTTCAGGATACCGCTCAGTCCTTTAGGTAACGGAGGCAAGCCTTCAATAGAACAGACGCTTCCAGCCGGACAATCCGCTGGACTGGACTGAAACCCGTTCATGTCCGATTCCACTGTTTTCGCTTTTAAAATTAAAACCTGGTTTTAATATTTTCTATGCCCGGTGTTGTTATTTTGTTCATTTATTTTTACCACCATGAAAAATATCCAACTGAGATGAAATACACTGTCTTTCTTTTTTAAAAAAATGGTACGGAAGGTGAGAGCGCACGAATGACCTTAAACTGCAACCAACTGTCACGTCCAAAAACTAATTTCCGGAAAAGTGATATTCTGTGCGCGATCCTTCATATGTTAACCACTGGTTTACACTGACTGTAACTAGTAGCTCGTTTACAAGGCAACAGAAAACAATTTCGCTCGAATAAACTCTGGCAATCTGTTCTTTCAGGAGGTACTTGATTTTACGCTCTTCCTTATTTGCATTTCGTCGTAAAGCAGCGCATAAAACTAATTCTGCAGATAAAAACAAATTCCTACCGTTAGATATAAGCAAAAACTGGACAGGAAACGCTGGACAGGAGAGCAAGGAGCCCCGCTTTGTTTTCGTTTAACGTTTTCTTTTGTCTTGTAGCCTACTGTACAGCTAAACCTCGCCCACTGCATCTCTCCGCCCAGAGCTGCGTTCTGCCACAGCGAGGCGCTGTTTCTCATGTACAGCAGCATAAACTGCTGAAGCTGGTCGCCTTCTTTCTTCCTTCTTATGTGGTTTCTTGAGTCTCGAGGACTTTTCAGTTGCTTCATCTGAGCCTCAGCTTTGCTTTGGGAGGAAAAATGTATAATCTAAGGGGTCACGGAATGAGTTATTGCATTTAAAGATGACAGTATAAAGGAGTGGAAAAATGCAAGGTCTAAAGACACTAAACACCACTTTTTTTTTTTAGATATAAATACTCAATTCTGAGAAGAAAAGTCAGAATTGTGAGAGATCATCCTGCACTTGCAAGGGAAAGTCTGAATTGTGAGATAAAAAGTAGCAATTCACTTTTTTATTTTTCATTCTGTGGCAGAAAAAAAAAAAATTGCTAGATGCAAATGAAAAATTCAGAGTAAAAACGTCAAAATTATGAGATGTAAACTAAGAATTTAGAGAAAAAAGACTGAATTGTGAGATCAACTCACAATTACCTTTTTTCCTGTAAAGAAAACATGGCACAAAACGCAGTGCCGTGGAATGCAAAGGTTCTCTGTGTTAGGAGAACACATTTGTGCATTTAAAAATGGGATATATGGGAATTGGAATGTGGGAGAAAAGCATTACACTGCAAAAACATGGAAAAAACGATGGAAAACAAGGAAATGGAATACAAAAATCCTAGACGTCGGGCAGTGTAAAAAAAAAAAAAAAAATGCAACGTCTAAAAATACTTTCAAGTTGAACTTACTTCACATCTTGTGTGAGATGCAGCAAAAGGCACATATGCAATGATCGCTGAAAAAGCAAAAGGAAAGCAGTGCAGTGAAATGCAAAACGCATTCTGTGTGAATGGCCCCTAACTCTACCAAACTTACAATGCTGTTATTTGTTACCAAGACAACACTAATAGCATCAAAATGGATCTGTTGCAGCTTTGAAACACTTCACTCTGCCACTGTAATTGATCTAACATTGTCACAACACTTAAGTCGGTGCTTTCAATAATAATAATATTATGAGTTCATAAAGCAACGGAAAGAAAGTTAAAACTTGTAACTCGAACACAAACAAATCAAGAAAAAAGAAACCAGCCTTTGCAGCTCAAGCAATGTATTTCAACACACGACACAGTCACATACTCAGCTGCTTTAGAACAAACATAAGCACAACCGAAACGCTCTGTTGAGTATGTTACTATATGTATTAGTGCTGTTTGTATTTCCTTATGTGTGTGTGTGTGTGTGCTGTTACAGCTCCGTCTGTGCTTCAGTCTTATGAGAGCTGCAGCTCTTTCAAGCTGCGCAGGGATTCGGCACAGCCTCGGATCAGACTGCAGAGCTGGATGCTGGCCTCCACTGACCCCGAGTGCTGGAGCTCCTGTGTGGCCCATCTGAGTTTATGTAGCACTGCCTCCTCTGCACTTGACAAGGCTGGGTGGTGGAGGAGGGTGTTGCCCACGGGTCCTAAAGGAGGTGCAGTCTGGGGAGCAGGGGTGGCTGGTGGCAGGAAGTTGGAGCTGGCGGTGGGGACAGAAAGAGGGGTGGACTGTATGGCGGGAGGGGGACCTCTCAGTCCAGACGCGGCCCCCTCGCAGTGCTCCGGCCGGGGCTGGCCCGTGATGGAGAGAGGGGGTTCACTGGATGAGGCTCCGTTAGACTCAGGGAGAGGCTGAGTCGCAAGCTGATGCTCTCGTACCTGTGACAAGGCTGCCTGGGCGTTTAAAGCTGAAAGAGAAATTGAACAGGTCAACAGAGATACACAAGACTGTACATACATAAATTCAAAGGCTGCATTTAAACGTACCTGGGTTGTCCTTGTCAACATCGGAGTCCAGCTCTTGACAAGCAACACAGTAATTTTTCTTCTGCTTATCTTGCAGCAGAATTGTCTGCAAATATATAGGACATTCCTTCCCTCATACACGCTTCAATCAACAATAAAGATTAATTAAATACTAGTTATTATAATTCCAGTGGGGTCCATAAACTGAAAATCCTTTTTTTGTTGCTTTTTTCCATTAGAAGTTACAATATCTGCATAACAATTTTAATGAAAAGATGACCTGTCATTTTCTAATTATTTAAAAATAAAAATGTGTTTATTTCCAGGTTTAAAATCCCAGATTTTTGGGGGGATTTTTTCCTTTTTTTAATTGGTATTAGCAGATACTTAAATGTTGTCCATAAACTGAAAATACCTCTTTATTTTTTCCCATTAGAAATTACAATATCTGCATAGTTTTATTGAAAATATCTGTTTTATCTTAACCCCATTTTTTTTGTATTTCAAAAAATGTGTATTTAATACAATGCTGTGATGCTTTAATTTGTAGCTGTTGAATTTCATTTATAGTATACATGGTCACATAAAAATGTAAAAATGACTAAAATGTATGTGTATATATATTTTATTTTTTCTATTTTAATATATTTTGAAACATGCTTTATTTCTGTGAAGCAATGCTTAGCATTATTACTCCAGTCGCCAGTGTCACATGACCATTTAGAAATTATTCAAATATGCCAATTTGGTGCTCAGGATAATTAATATCCTCTTATCATCAGTATGGAAACTAGCTTTTTTAAAAAGCTTGTGCTGTTGAACATTTTTGTGAAAACTGTGACTTTTTCAGGATTCTTTGATGAATAGAAATTTCAAAGACCATCATTTATATAAAAAGCACTATACATGTCTTAACTGTCACTTTAGGTCAGTTTAACACATCCTTTCAAAATAAAACTATTTTCTTTAAAAAATAAATATATAAAATCTTACTGACCCTCTTTTGAAAGGCACCGTAAGGACCTATCTATTAGGGCTGCACAATTATGACAAAAATCATAATTGTCGATTTTTCCCTTAAAATTGTAATTGCGATTATTAATTACGATTACCACAATTTACATTGATTGAATGACATTTATACCATTGTTTGAAGTAACTGCATGCCATATTTTTATATGAAAATAAGCTGAAAACACTATCTGAAAAACTTTTATTGCTTATATAAGCCTCAAATGTCAACTATATTGGACTGGTTTCTTCTTTAAATAAAAAAAAATAGTAAAAATTAGCATGGTATTATAATGTTATACTAAAACTAAAACAATGGAAAAACCTTAAGATAACCCTTAGAAAGAAAAAACACATCTTAAGCACTCAGAATAACATAAGTGGACTTTGAATGATTAATTGCCACTTTGAACGATTATGTAATTGTGGCATCCGTAATTGTAACAGAAATTAGAAATTCGATTAATTGTGCAGCCCTACTATCCAGCTATCATTATTGGCCATAATTTACAATATACAGATACCTTACTGTACATTTACTTATTACAATTTACTGAAAGGCTCTTGCAGGTACTTTGACTAATAAAACACTAATTTTATGAAGTCACAGATGAATGAATGTAACACATGCTTCTCTCTCACCCCACACAGCTCACAGCAGTCCCCCAGCATCTTGTAGCCCTTCAGCAGATAGTCTCCCATCAGCTTGCTGATCTTGTCCTGCCGCTCCCGGCGAGCCTGAATCACCTTCATCTCCGCCTCGGAGGGAGGCTCCCATTCAAAGTCATCTAGATTCATCAGAGCACAGATTCCTCATGTGTCTGGCTCGTTGATGTTCACAGATCAGAAACAACCAGCTAGCATCTGTGTATATGGAGCTTTCAGACAGTTGTACGACCTCACTAATAGTCAGTTATGCTAAAGAGATTGCGAAGAGTTAGATATTATGAATGAAATAAAGCCAGACAGACAGACAGACACTGAAGCGCTAACAGGCTAGCCTGAAGATGTTATTTTAGCGCGGCTGCAAGTGCACTACAGTACTTTAGCACGACGGAAGTAAATGATGTAAAGTAAGATTAATGAAAGATAACAATAGGGAACTCAAGAGCAGAATAAGTATTTATTCACATTTTACCTGCGTTTAGGGACATGCTCTCCTCAGCCGCCTCACAACACAGATAACGTTTCCTGCTCGAAACTTCAGCGGTGAAATGTACAAAGTGCTGTGAAAACGGACTGGCGCCATCTAGCGAACGGAATGTAGGACCTGCAGTTTTGTTTGCACTTTTATTGGAAATGACCTTTTATATACTGTATGCACTACCGTTCAAAAGTTTGGGATCAGTAAAATTTGTAATATTTTTTTTACCGAAGTTTCTTGTGCACATCAAGGCTGTATTTATTTGATCAAAATACAGAAAAAAGCCCTGTTATTTTGTGAAATATTATTGCCATTTAAAATAACAGTTTCTATTTTAATATACTTTAAAATGTAATTTATTCCTGTGATGCAAAGCTGAATTTTCTCCAGTCTTCAGTGTCACATGATCCTTCAGAAATCATTCTAATATGCTGATTTATTATCAATGTTGGAAACAGTTGTGCTGCTCCATGGTTTTTGGAACCTGTGATACTTTTTTCAGGATTCTTTTATGAATAATAAAAAACAAAACAAAAAAAAAAGAGTTTGGAGTCAGTACATTTTTTTCTTTCTTTTTAAAAAGTAGTGAATACTTATTTTCAGCAAGGATGTGTTAAATGGATAAAAAGTGATAGTAAAGTTAGAAAAGACTTTAATTCGAAATAAATGCTGTTCTTTTTAACTTTTTATTCATAAAAGAATCCAGAAAAAAGTATCAGTCTCCAAAAAAACAAACAAAAAAAAAAAAAACATGGAGCAGCACAACTGCTTCCAGCACTGATAATACATCAGTATATTAGAGTGGTTTCTGAAGGATCATGTGACACTGAAGACTTGAGTAATGATGCTGAAAATTCAGCTTTGATCTATAAAGTATATTAAAACAGAAAACCAATATTAGAAATTGAAATAATATCTCACAATATTAATTTTTTTCTCTATTTTTGATTAAATAAATACAGCCTTGATGAGCACAAGAGACTCCATTAAAAAACATAAAAAATCTT